ACCGGGGGCAGTTGCGTACCTGCCTGTCCCGGCAGGGTGGTCCGCAGGCCAGATCCAGTGGCTTGGCAGGCTGGCTCTGGCCCCTGGACCTTATTTTGCCCAGCTCTGACTTGCATACTATTCAAGGAGTGCCTCTTTGTAGCAGGATTCTTGTGTCCCGATTGCTGCATTTCCATCAGCTTGTGGTATTAGGAAGGTTCTAGATATTTTCTACTGGTCCTTCCTGTTCACTACCTGACAAATGATGAAGCCTGTAGGCAGCTCCCAGTTTCATTTTCCTATACCAGCTCGGGTCTTATTTCCATTCCAACTTGGGGGCTTGGACTCTGCTGGCGTATCAGGGCTCTTTACTAAAAGAGAATTGCTGCATTTCCATCAGCTTGTGGTATTAGGAAGGTTCTAGATATTTTCTACTGGTCCTTCCTGTTCACTACCTGACAAATGATGAAGCCTGTAGGCAGCTCCCAGTTTCATTTTCCTATACCAGCTCGGGTCTTATTTCCATTCCAACTTGGGGGCTTGGACTCTGCTGGCGTATCAGGGCTCTTTACTAAAAGAGAGAAGCTATGAAAGTGAATAGCATGGGAACACTGAGCTGCTATATTAAAAAAGATGGCTGCATTTAGGAAAACCAGTAAGCTCTTTCCAGCAGGCTAATTAAAGACTCTTGTTGTAGCTTATTAAGACAGCCTTCTATATTAGCCAAGCAAATGCTAGCCAAACCAAAACGTATTGCTTTCTTCTCTTTGTTTGCTCTCAAAGCCAGAGAGGTGTGTGTCCTGGACTGAACTAAGGAAGATGGGTTTATTTCACTTCCTGTTTACGTTGTAAAATGGATGGTGTGGGCCTGATGTGTATTTCAGATACTGGCAGTCCATTGTGTTTACCCCTCTCTGATTGCATATAAGAAGCAAGTTACATTATTGAGCCAATCTGTTTACACTCTGCTTATAATGGTTGATTAATGAACAGGGATAACCAGTACAATCTTCTATTACTACATAACTTTATTACTAGTATCAGTTTTCACTATGAAAACCAAGATATGTTGTAACATGGTTACATGACTTAGTGCAGAGATCTTGGCAGGAGAGAGACGCAAGTTTTCCTAATGAGCACAGCAAATGTGTGTCATTCAGGCAGCCTGGCATATGGCGATCTTTCCATCAATCCCCAATTCAGACTTTTAACACATGCCGAAGACAGATTAATTTTCATTCGTGTGTTAGACTTATCCACTTCTCTGGGAGAAAGCCCAGCAAAGCCAGAGCATCATCTGGTGAGACGACCACACTTCTATTTTTAAATTCAGTCCTTCTGTACAGCTACAGTAATTTGGTGTGTTGTTTATATATCGTTGTCAGTCAGTTGACTTGCTACTAAAGACAATTTGATCCAGTTTAATGAATGCAGCTGTTGCATTCTAAAGGGAGAGCAGGACAATGTAGATTGTTTGGGGTGTGATGGATTCTGGTTCCCCCTCAGATCTCATTTCCTTTGATCCCCAAAAGGGCTGTTGCATGCCCACTAAAATGAGAAAAACCATACCAAACCTAGTAGAGTGGGCATTCTCTTTACCATACCTGACCTGAGGAAGGCTGAAGGAAGGTGCTTAGAATGCAACAGAAATTGGAACCCATCTAGAAACTCCTTTCCTGCCACAATACATCATGACATCTATCATTTTGTGTGTTCATTTGAATCAAGCTCCTGATGGGTTAATTCTCCCTATGAGTGTGAACTTATTGCTTATTAAGTTGTCTTAGAGTTACACATAAGACCATCATGTTTCAGCTCTGACAGCTAAAATGGTTCTAAATTTATCAGAGGATTGTTCTTTTGCGCACACACTTCTAACATCATACATTCTAGCAGTGCAACCTCATGGAGAATTGTTCATATCATAGGAAGGGAAACATACTCATTTGAGCTGTCTTTGCTGTTCACGGTCTTGATGCCACTGTTTTGATTTTCTCAGTAATTTATGTGCATAGTATAAGCAAGCTTAATAACTTACTCTCATTGGTAACCAAAACTCTAGACATAGAGCGGGCTGTATATTACAGGGAATACATGACAGTGTAGCATGGAGCAAAGGTTTTAATAGTGTCTGTCTATTTTGGCAGCCAGTGGAAGTACTGCCTCTGGGGTACTACCTTACTCACCACAATGAGGAAATAAAATCAGAGTGAAACCAATTTACCCTCTTCCCAATTGTATGTGTCATTTGCAGCTGTTAATTTGTCAGACTGGCCTTCCTGGATGAAAGATGAATGGAAGGGCACCTGCTCCAGTATTCCAGATGGCCTAATACACACAGCCGTGTTCCACTGGGGACTCCAAGGCAGCAGCAATCATAGGACTTCACTGCACACCCCCCCAGCCACTATGTTTTTAGATGTGCCCTTAAGGAATGAGCACCTGCTGCCTGTAGAGCTAGGGCAAATTGCTGTGACTCTTCTAGAATGCTGCCCCAGAGCCAGCAAAGGCAGTGTTGTTTGGGTGATGCATTACTCCAGGCCCATAGAACTCTCCTGTCAAACCAAGCTGTCATTTAATTCACCCCACTTACTTTACAGGACATTTTTTTCAAAAATGTTACAGATAGCTTCAAAATACTCTGTTGGTATTGATCAGTATTTTATGTCTTAAATTCCTCCTGCTGTAAATAATAATAATACAGCCAGATTGCCTTAGTCCAACTCTGTAGGCCCTGGGAAATTACAAGTCAGACTCAGATCCCTAGTGTCTGAAAAAAAAACCCCTCTTTATTGACTAAAATAATCTTTTTCTAATTCATACATCAGGATACATAGCATATGATAGCTCACAATCCACCTTTGCTAGAATAGAAATAAGCACTTTTTCCTGTTGAAAATTGGAGTTGAAAATTACTCATCCAAGTAAGAGAGCGTGTGTTTCTAATACTATTGAAGTTCCAGAAATATTAAACTTTATATTGTCCCACACTCAGTGCCAGATCTATGCACAAGCTAATTAAACTACAATTTAGGGCCTCTGATTATGAGGGTCTCTAAATACAATACTAGATTTTAGTTGAATCCTTGCCTACGTACATAGGTATATATGCAAATATAAAACTTTATTTCTATTTTCATTGTCCTTTCTGTTAGAATATACACATTTTTGGTAATGCTATGGTTCCTCTTAAACGTGACATAGTATATGGCCTCACAATATTTTAATCCGGGCCTGCCTGCACTTCAAACCCACTCAGTTTTGCAGGGAAACAAAACTTTGTTTCAGACATTGTGGCGCGGGGAAGAGGGACAAATTAGGGATACGCTTTATATTTTTTTAATTGAAGTTTTCTGAGGTTGCTCAGGATGGAACAAGAAAGTGTTTAAAATGTGAAAAGTCATGATACACGTGGGCAGAATTTAGGAATGGGTATTGTTGGTGCATGATAAATGCAGCTTATCACACGGTTGCTCTCTTCATCACATGGAAATCTCCACCATATTATATGGGGTATAAATGTGTATATGTTTTTATACAAGCTTATTCTGTTAGAAAACTTTGTGTTACGCACCGCTTAAGAATGTAGGAAACCCCTTTGCAGATTTTGATCTTTCTTTCTCTTTCCCCTCCCATTTTCTTTTTACTTTCCTTTGTAATACCCTAACATTTGTCCAACTTCCTTGAGGAAGAAATGGGTAAGCAACAGCTCACTGCTTTCTGTAGCTTTGAGAAATAGAGTTATAAAATAAAAAAAAGATGAAAGGAATTATGTTGACTAGAGGAGAGACAGTAATAGAAATACATGTACTTGGAGTTAAGTTAAAATTTATTGTAAATGCTGCCTTTTGCATGGTACTTTAGTAATTTTTGCTTGCTGTTGCTAGCATACAAATTACTACTTCCGTAGTGGCAGCCAGCATTATACTTAAACTTACAAAAAGTGCATTAGAGATTGGAGGAGTGGGGACAGGAATCCTAAAGATTGTAACTCACTTGTAGCTTAAATTTATCGGCTGGATCATATCAGTAAAACAAGGGTACTTTGCTTTGATAGATAGATCACTAGCGTGGAGAAGCACAGGTAATTAATGGATATGTTTCCTTTTGTTAAAAGGAAAGTCGTCTACATGATTGGCCACAGTACCAATCTGTGTTCATTTTCTCTAAAAAAAACAAACAGACCTTTATGAATAACATTTTGGCTTTTTACCTTGTTTTTATTTATTGATTTATCGTTGTTTTAGTTTACATTCTAGTGTTCTGAGAAATGATCCAGGATCCAGACGATCGAGTAGCTCCACGATGTTGGATGGAGGAGGCCTTGGGAAATTTGAATTTGAGATCACTGATTTCTTCCTGTTTGGATCTCCCTTGGGCTTGGTCCTTGCATTGAGAAAAACTGTCATCCCAGCTCTTGACAGTAGGTTTTGGCATGTACCGGTGATTCTACTAAGTGGTCATTTTAAATATCTTCTACTACATAAAGCTTTCAGACTTACAAAGAGGGAATCCAGTAATTTACATGAGATGAACTGTAGAACGTACAGTAAAACTAAATTATAGCTGTGTAGTTCCACCTTACAAGTTAGTACTAGCTGCTCATGTAAATATATATTATACAATTTGTCATTTAACTCTAGACAACAAAAATCTAAAAATGTGCTGCAAAAAATGTAGTAAAGTATGTTCCAAAGGAATATCAGTTGTCCTGATTGATTTACTACTGGAGTGTGATGGAAGTAAGCACTCTTTGAGGGCTTTTCTCCCCCTAGTAATGCACTTTACAAATAGAGAATCACCTTTTCAGTAGATTTATACAAACCTTATAAATAACTTTGTAATACTTGAGAGTTTCTTTTCTCTCCCTCCTTTTCTGCTTAGTCTTTCAGCTGAGGCCAGCCTGCCAACAAGTGTATAACCTGTTCCATCCTGCAGACCCATCTGCCTCTCGCCTGGAGCCCCTTTTGGAAAAGAGATTCCATGTGTTGCCTCCCTTCAGTATTCCACGCTACCAGAGATTCCCATTAGGGGATGGGAATTCTGCTCTTCTGGGTACGTTAGTTTCTGTCTGTTATCTGCCTATGGCTCAATGGCTGTTCTGAGCACAGTTGAGGAGATCAGGGAGTGTTTTAACTGTGTCAGATGCACAGGATTGGCCTCAGTGTTTAGCTTCTTTGGAAAATTTTCAGGCAAGTGGATTCCTTTTTACAAATTTAGTGTCTTGCATCCAAAATGCCATTGTTGTCACTTATTATATAAAATCCACAAATCACTATGAGTCAATACGCAATGTCCTCTATGTTGTGCCCCATTTTACATGCCAGTCAGCGCTTGAGATTGGAGCTCCGTTTCATAGGCGCATGATCAGTTAGGCCTAGATTTAGTGACTTGATCTTTCAGGGGATCAGCAATGGCTGGGAGGGAGCAAAGCAAAGCCATGCAAGGAATGCAGTTTGCTTTGTTGCACACTATCTATATGCTGGAAACAAGCTGAGGGGACTGAGTGCGCAAATACAATTAGCTATGCATGACACATTCTGTTGAACTGCTACCGCATATTTTGCCCATGCAAATGACTGAAGTAAGGGGGCAGTTGCTCAGAAAGCCCACTTTCAATTCCTCTAATCTACCCATGTGTAACCCAGCAGGTGGAGACTTCTTTCAGCCTAACAAACTTATCTATAGTGAAACTCCATTTATATGAAATCAAGTGCAGATTCCTGATTATTTCAGTGCATCTCAGTGTACAGATTTAAATTCTTATGGAAGTAAATTACCATTTGTTTGGGGGAATTATTTTCTCACTTTATGAAGATTTCAGTATAGATACTGTACAATTATGGTCAGTGATCATTTGAAAAGCTGTATAGGAGGTTTTCCTTTTCTTTTCTTGTACAAATACCATTCCTGTGCTTCCCTCTAACTTTATAGCTGTTTTAACTGGTAAGGCACTGAATTTAGACTTATTTGAAAGATCATCTGTATTAGCTTCTATTCCTCTACTTGAAAATAGGTCCTTTGTAAAAGACCCTGAATTGTAATTGTTTGTATGTTTTACAGTTTGTGGCCACATGTTGGTTGTTCTTGTCCTTCTGTTTTCTTCCCCATCTGCTTCTAGTTGAGACAGTCCAGAACAACCCCATTCTTCTCGTGGAAAGCAGCCCATTGGTTGCTCTCCAGCACCAGGACAGCTTCATGGAAACCAGTATACCTGTTCCTGTTCTGAATTGGCAAGATGTTTCCAATAAAAATGCTGTTTTTGCTGAGTGTGTGTAACCTACCCTTTTCTAGAGTCTTGTGTTGTGTACTTGGGGCGCTCTTTGGAGAATGGTCTTCCACCTCATAGGACTGAAAGCTTTGCACTGTGTGCCTGAATATGACAAGTGAAGTACCTGCATAACCACTATTCTTGGGTCCCAAGCAAGAATGGGACCACAAGTCACTGGCAGGGAACGGTAGAAACTGAGCTGTGAGTTGTCTCCCCTTCTGCTGCTAATGCTTGGAAGATACAATTGGAATTGCACAATGAGTTTTTCCTCTGGTCTAGCTACTGGAGATGCATCTAGAGGCCAAAAGGCTCTGGGCCGCAGGCTTCCCTTTCTTTTGCTTGAGGCCTGCCTTGAAGCTGATACAATTTATGCAGTGTACAAAATCAGCCATTGAAACTGACCCATGGTTTTTGCTTGCAGTACACAAAGTTTGCCAGTGCAGTCAGCACATAACTGCAAAATAAATCTATAACAGAAAGTGACTAGATATTGTCATGATGCACATTTTATATTTAGATAATTTTTCAACACAGTGGACAAAGCTTTCAGGACCCAAATGTTTTTAATTGATTTCTCAAATAATTTCTGCTTTAAAAATAAGGGTTGTTTTTTTTTTTGTTGCTATCAAAAATGCTGCATGACCATTTTTTCTCAGTTATAGCTGATACCATGTCTGCAAGTTAATGACTTTATTTATTTTCTCCTATCTATAACTTTTTTATGCTTCCCGCCCCCTTTTAAATATGCCCCTTGAATAGCTTGAACCTGCAGCCCTTACTCATGTCAGTCACCTCTTACCCATTTTGCTGAGTGCTAATTTCAGAACAGCAGTGCCCACCAATGGTTATATTGGATAGAGGATAATGCAGAAAGATTTTCAAAGCAACACATGCATGTTTAGGTGCCCAATTGCCATTCATGCCCTTGGATACTCTCTCCCCCATTGTTCTCTAGGAAGGCCAGTAAGAAAGGACACTACAGTATTGCCTACTATTGCTTTCCAGTTCACTGACACAAGGTCACTGAGCCTTCATCCCAATTTAGCTGACTGACCGTGACTATGCATGCAAAAGACTCTTCTCCCATCTCAGGAGTGTCATGTGGCCTAGCTTTGCTCATGTCTGACTCTACCAATGGGGCTGCAAGTGAATTTTCAGGACTAAATAAAAAGCTGCTTGAATCTCTTTTTCTTTTGCAATTAAGGGTGGAATTTTCCAAAGCATTGCTATCATTGGGAGCAGAGTTAGGCCAGTGCTGAGAATTTTGTTTAAAATACCATTCCAGTTTTTTTGCTTTTAACTGCAGAAAAGCTCCTTGCTTCAGTGCCACAATGCAACCTATACATTCCTTTACAGGGCACTGTGCTGCATTGAAACAGACTGTTCCTTTGCTCCATGGAACCCTGCCAATCCAGGAACTTAACTTAATGCTACTGATGGTTTAGATAGCTCAGTACTGGACATTTGGTGTTGTAGTTACTGAGTGCATTGAAAAATAAGTCTTAAACTTAAGAGGTACAGCATTTGATTATGTATGAAACTCCACAGTCCAGAATTGGAGAAGTGAGGATTTTCTTCTCTCCTGACCCTTTGCTCACTTTGTAACTACAGTGGAACTTTACTTATTCGCACTGCATCAATCTATGCACTCTGTAATACACACACAAAGGCAGCTTCTGCAGCTTCTCAGCCAAGATCTGCTAGTAGTTGTACCACCATGTGAGCTTTCCTGTTTCCAAACCTTAATTATCCATACAAAACACACCATCAAATCTTTATTACACAAGGTACATTTAACGCCCCCCCCCCCGGATAGTTTGCAAAAGCAGGTGCATGTGCCTTGAGGGTTACAACTCTAAAGCATCTGGCATTAGTGTAAGACCACGATACAAGACATGATGGGCCATTAGTAAGGTTAAGATTTTGGCATTGATATTTTTAGTAAATGTCACGAGTGGGTCACAGCCAATAAAAAAAAATCACAAAAGCCCATGATCTGTGCATGACTTGTACTGAAAAAATATCCAAGATGGGAAGCTTTGCTATAGGGCCCCCACTAGGGAACTTAAATTTTGAGTAATTGACTAATTGACTAGTCGATTAAATTTGCATCGATTATTTGATTAGTCGATAGGGCACCTCCACCTTCGAAGCGTAGCAACAGCCCTAGGGCCATTGCTACACTTCAAAGGCGAAAGTGTTGCCGGGAGCACGGGGCCAGTCCCCACAGCATTTCAAAGTGGCAGCATCAAATGGAGCCCAGGCAGCACCAAATGGAGCTTGGGGCTAGCAGGTGACTCCCCTGCTAACCTCAGGCTCCGTGCAGCACTGCTGCTTTAAAATGCCACGGGGAGCCTGACGCCAGGCTGCATGCAGTGTTTCAGAGGCAGCGCTGCATGGAACCTAGAGTCAGGTGGAGACTCTCCCACTGACCCCAGGCTCCATGTGTTTGCTTATCGGATAGTCAACTAGTCATTCACATCCGTAGCTCTCACACTGGGCTCAGTGGCTATGCAGCGTGTGTCCTATTCCAGCATCCCTGTCCTCTGGACCATGCCAGATCTCCAATGTGGAACTGTAATCAGCTCCCACACTTGACTTGTGCCCAAAACTACCAATAGGAGGTGGGGGGCAAAAAGAGCAGTTGCCCTGGGGCTCAGTGATTCAAAGGGGCCCAGGGCTCTTAGCCTCCAACATTGCCACTGTTGCACTGGTGGTGGTAGAAGCCCCAGGCACTTTAAATTGCTGCCAGAGCTCCATGTGGCTTTGACAGGGAGAAAGGGGAGACAGTCTGTGGGGCTGGCTGCTCCCAGCCGTGTCCCTTCTGTCCAAAACCTCACCCCTTCCAGGAGTGCACAGCTGTCCCCAACACACAGACACCTTTTCCACGGACCCACAGACGCATCAACTCCTCTGCTTATGCCCCTTTCAGAATGTGGTTTGTGTGTTTCTGGTAAGGATGTAAAGGGGTAACCAGTTGCCAGCATGCTTACTAGAGTAACTGATTAACTGGTGCCTGGTCCGGCTGGAGCAGCCCCCCACCCATGGCATGCTACAGTCAGGGAGCTTCTGCCTACCTGCCCATGCCTGCCGCACCACAGGCGAGTGTCTGTGCCAATGGCCCAATGCAGGCTGGTTAACCAGTTAAAATGTTAACCAGTTAAACTATATGTTTAAAGGGGATTTCACATCCCTAGTTTCTGAGCTGTAAATTTATTGAAGGAAATGCAGGTGTAAGCATGAGCATGGTATGGTGAGACATATTGTGCAGCAACCTTGATAGGTGGCAGCTCAATCCACAATGAAAAGAGTGAAGTGGGGCATCAGCGTACATCCGAGGAGAGGGTAACACTAGTAAGGTCCTTTAAGGATCAATCATACAGTGTATTTGAAACACAAAGTGTTACACTCTAGCTGGGCCCTAGACACTGGTAGTTCCTGCGGATTTGAGTTGATCAGCTTGTAGCATTTTTTCCTGCAGAACACATAACTGCTTTTATCAACATTTAACTCCACCTTCTACTGCTTTCAGCCATTCTCTTTCCCATCGCAACAGCATAGTTTGCTTCATTTATATACCAGGGCCTCTGTTAAATGCAAGTATTCTAGAAAACACAAAAAGTCAAGATTCCAGGTAGCAAGTCAGGAGCAACAGGCATTCGGGCTTCTTGGATCAATATTCAGATGACTCATCGTGCAGTAGCTAATACAACTCCAGACTGACCACAACCAAGGATATTTAATTTTCAGTTAGATCATTTCCCTCATAAGTGAAATAAATAACTTAAAGCTGACTTTTGTTGGAAGGGAGAGGCATTTTCTTTCTTGCTTTGGTGTTTTGTGCCTGCTTGCACAGAATTGATTGGTAGTTGTGAATGAAGTTCAGATTCTAATATTCTGATTATACAGTGATAAGGCAGCAAGGTAGAGTTTTAAGATGAAAGTTGCGAACTCACAGTTTGATTGCTGTATCAGCTTTGGATTTCTTTAGGTACATTGCACACAGTTTCTTTAAATTGATTATCTCCATGTGCATAGCAGATGTTTGTTAATTCAGCCTTGCAACACCCCTGAAAGGGTAGGTAGGTATTGTTACCAGTAAATTACAGGTGGGAAAATGAGACACAAAAGTTAAGTGTGGCATTGAATAAGTCACAACAGATCAGATAAGTCACAATCACCTTGATTTCCAATCTGCTGTGTTAACCACTAGGTTCTATGGTCCTTTAAAGTGTGTTTTTAATTTATAATTTTATAGAACTATTATAGAACTATAGCAGTTTCCATCTAAGAAGATGCCCACATATACACTTCCTCCATATGAACTGATTTTTACTCCTCATTCCCCTTGTGTTTAGTTCCTGAAGGATAAAGCCAAACTTTTCAAGCCCAGAGCCTAAAGTTGTGCTTGTAAATCCAGATTTTAGGTAACAACATAAAAATAGCCTGATTTTTCAAACAAGCTAATAGTCCCAAATCCCATTTAAATTGAAGGGAAATGTGAGTGTTCAAAACCAAGGCTACTTTTACAGAGTGTAAGAAGTTAGGAGTGCGACTTGAGACCTTCAGTTGTACAACTGATGGCTTTCTTTTTTTAGTAAATGAGGGCTTATGCAGCTCACGTTAAAGTCTGTGCCACTGTGTCTTTATTGGTGTTAGCCAGGCTATGTAGATTAGCCATGGGTATTTTTGCCAAAACTGCAGCCCCACCATGTATTGTAGTGTAAACACACCTTAAATAGAAGTCAAACTTGAGGACCACCCTGGCATCACTGTCTTCTCTTGAAAATTTCCCCTTTAGCTTAAAAGATGCCATAAAACCAGTATCTCTCAAATAATTTTTTTTACCTTCCTCTCCTTTCCCACATTGCTCTGGCTACATGTGAATATCTGCATGCCACATGTTTCTATTCTTGCTGCTCAAGCAAAATCTATTCTGATTTAGTTTGGTTTAAACCGATCATTTTACTTTTTGTGAGTCCAACAGTGATATGCTAAATGGCAACTCTCTTTTTACCTGCTCTGGTGTTTTCTTTCTTTTCAAAATAGAGCTGGGTTGAAAGGTTTTGCATCTGAAAGCCAATCCTTATTTGCTTCCTTTTTTGCCTCTTGATTTCATCTTGCCTGGTCTCTGTCTGTTGGTCTAATATTTTGATTTCCCTGTTTCAACTCCATAGCAGATGTTGTTCAGTCTCATGGTGCAGTCTTCATGGAAAATGCGTCCCTTTCCACTCCCATAACAACCTCTCAGTTCAGGGGGTTCCGGAGGGCCAGTGAGATCAGCATTGCCAGCCAGGTCTCAGGAATGGCAGACAGTTACACTGCTTCCAACATAGCTAACAGTAAGTGTTTTGCACCCTCCAAGATTTATTCTCACTATAGCACTGAAGGAGCAGCACCATACACCAGGCTGACCTCAATGGGTAGGACAGAGACATAGAAATGTTCTGTCTTTATTTTGTGTATGTGTTTATGTTTAATGTATAACCTGGTTTGGAGTTAGCCACTGTTTTGCTCCATGATCCTTTGAACTTCATGCTGTGCCGAGTTGTCAGATACAAAATAGGGATGTGAAAGTGTAACCATGTACATCATTAACTGATGAGCCTGAGCTCATCAGTTAACCTTCACTATTACACAGGCTTTTGGTACTCACAGGAAGTCAGTTTAAAAACCAGCTCCCCATGTGCACTGGTCCCTTTGGGGTACCATCTCCCCCCACCCTTAGGTGCTGCTGACACTGTATCAGAGGCTCTCATCTGCATGTAACCATGTAACTGCTGAAAAGTGTCAGTGGTTACACATGTACTTAAGCTCATTTTAATATTTCTAATACAAAGAGTTGGGGAGAATAGCACACAAAAAGTATTTCCTGCTGTTAATAATGTTTCCTGATGAAGAGTAGTCATAACACCTGCTGATTCTCTTGTATTTCTTGCTTAATTAAGTTAGTAATAGCAGCATAGTACAGCAGACTGCATGGCCCTGGGTCATCTATGAAAGAGATTTTGCTCCTTATTAAAGGAAAACCACTCCTTTATCTATTGCAAAGCAAAATCTATGGAGCTCTCTGATCCACTGGAAAGCTGACCCCTGACTAAAAATATGCATACATGTCAGAGTGGTTTTGTTACTATTTTTATTATCTATAGCAATGCAATAACCTGTTCTATTTGTATAAGACTCACCTGTCCTTTGGATCTATGGTGTGAATGCAGTAGTTTGACAGACTCTTCTCCTCCCCCCATGTGAAAACTGATCTAATCTACACCTTTGAAACTGATGCCCACAGAAATGGACGTCCTTTATTCTAGACATTCATGGGTGAACTATCGGGCTATTTTGGCCTCTCAATTTCTTGTTTCAACAGAAGCCAATTTTGTTTAAATGTATTCTCCCTCATGAGCAGGGGGTTCTGGGCATCCACAGGTGTAGTGGAATAGGTAGGATTCAGGCTCTACAGGCTTTGCAGTGAATTCCTGCAATGATGAGTCAAACTGCCAAAGACTTGGACTAACTTTATCGCTGGAGGTAGAGCTCAACCAGAATGTCTTGGGCTGTTTTAAATCCCATGTCCGAATTTGTTGGCAAGAGCCAGTCTCTGCTTCTATCTTGGAGCCTTGCACTAAGGGAGGATAGCAAGTGTAATTGCTTGTCTGAAGCTCTGTTTTCAATGATTAATAAGAAGTTGGAACTATTCCACCTAAGCCCAATTTTATTATTGTCAGTGACACATTGAGAATGCACCCTTAGGAAGAACAGATGCCTACAATTATAATACAGTGGGCTGCCACTATATTATACATGTTGGAGTGATGATGGGCATAAATTATTCATGTATAAAAGATAATTGATAACCTTGCACAACCATTGGCCCTTGTGCATCATTGGGGAATCAAATGTTAGGTCTATTGTTCAGCTGATAATTGGTTTATGCAATTGATGTATGATCAGCACTTTTGATACATAATGTAAGATTTCACAGGTGATTCATTGCACATTTAAATGTAATTTGCAAGGAGAAAAGAGGGGGTCTTTCCCTTTTTGGGGGCTGCTTTTTGGTTTTTAAAATATCTCTGGGGTGGAAACTGAAGCTTTTCTTGTTTGATTTATTTTATACATTAGAAATTCAGCTCATCTTACCCAGAGAACTCTGATGACTGGAGAATTAACAAAATTATGACATTACAAGAGCCAGAGCTGAGCTAGTAAGCGTGGAAGTGGTTTTTAATCAGACTAAGTTAAAAAAAATTGTCAAGACCCATTTAACTTCAGTGACTAAGAAATCTTTTGGAGAAAGGCAGCCTTTAGTTAAGATTCATCCTCCTCCTTCTCTTTATTAAGATGTGTTAACAGCAGACATTCTCCATCCCCAACAAATCAGCCAAAAAATCTGGCCAGCCCAACCCTGGCATTCGTGATATTTCTAAGGAAATAACAGTATTTTTAGAAAACAAATACACTTTATAAGAACCTGGAAGGAAGCCAGAAGCCCTAAAGGCATAATTCCAGTTTTAAAAAATACCTTTTTCATATCACCTTTAATAGATCAATTGCTTTGAACTATTAAGCTTATAATTAAACACTAAGGTTTAAAGGTCATCCTGAGGTAAATATAGGTAATATAATCCTATTGTAAAACAAAATGTGTAGGCTGGGACGTTCTTTGGAGCCCCGGGGTTGTAGGCTCCTGACTCCCGTTGAAATCTGCCTCACTTCCTTCTGCATCTCTGACTAGCCCACTTTTAAACAATAAACCAAAGGGGCACCTGTTCTCCTGGATGTGTGCGTGTATCTCCTCAGAGTACTGAACTGAGTGCAGGGCATGGTTTGAGTAAAGGATTGAAAGTGAGGAGATCCCAAATCCTCATCCTTTCTGATACTAACTCCCTCTGCAGCTTTGGGCAAGTCATAGAGCCACTCTGGCTCAATTTTCCCATCTGTAAAACAAGAATAATATTACCCTCTTCGTGGACAGGCTGTGAGGATGAATAAGTAAAGGCGTCTAAACTACTTTAGCTATGAAAAGCAGTATACAGGGTCCTAGTATTAGGATTAAGATATCTACATGGGCCCTATATAGGCCCTGAAATATTTTGGTGCAAATACCACAGTGGAGTTGAGTAGCTTCCTATTTTCTTTGGCCAGATATCAGTGTGTGGTGGGAATAAGCTACCTACACTATACTTAAGGAGCAGATTTGTTTATCCTATCAGACCCAATACACAAAGCACACAGCGGGATTGCCTGATGTTATGCACTACCTCTTGCTAAATGTTAACCTGTCTGGGAAGAAGGTTCATTAGAGAGGGTTTGTTTTGTGCATATTTCACCCCCTGGAGTTAATTGCTGAGCTTAGCCAGTCAGGAAGGTAAATCCTGGAGGAGTTGTTATTAAGTGTTGATTATTGTAGTGCTCTAAGGACTCTGTAAGGATTAGAGCCACAGTGCATTGGTGGCTCCAGACACACAGAATGAAGTGATAGCTGCCCTCATGTTATCAAACTGAAAAAAGCTGTTTAGTGTAAATATCCTGTATTTCCCTTACCTGAGGAAGTAGAGCTGTGCAGACAGTGTGGGTCAAATTCAGTAAGCTCATCAGCTCTGATGGAGTTGACCAGGAGATGGATTTGACCAGCTGTCTCCAAATTGCCAGCTGCCTTTAGTATACGAAGGTGGGGACAGTTTTTGTGCCCTTGCTTATGCCTACATAACCTCCCTGACCCAAGTGGAATGGATGGAGTCTAAGGGAGAAAGCAGAATCTAACTTGTCAGATGAAAGCTGTTGCTTTTGTATTGGACTGAAAGACCTGCTCTTAAAACTGACTTCCCTCCTTCCATTTCACTGGCATTTCCACACGTATTGCTGAACAGAAGAGTTGACCTTTCCACCCCATTTGTTAGATTATTAAGAATTTGGTTTTGCAACATGATTTTTGTCGTCCTACTCAGATGGCTGCTAGTATCAGAAATGTAGCAGTGAAGGTTTTGACTTTGACTCACTGAGAGAGAGCCCAGCCTCAGCAACCACTTGAGTTATGCCTTCCAAATGCATTTACATCCCTTCCAGGGCCAGCTTCAAAGGCTCAGAACAAGCCACTGTGATTCCATTGAATGAAGTCATGTGAGAATCTACAACATGAAATTCCACGGCCCTGTTTATGTAGAGTTCCCTCTCCATGTCACTGTGGAGTGGAGGGGGATGGCTAACTCTGTGGATGAACAGGCTTAACTCCCTCTTTCCCATGGAGCAGCAACATCCTACTAACTGTGCAGCAGCCTTTGGGTGAGAAAAGAAGATTCATAGCCCTCAACTCTCCTCCATAAAGAAAGGCTACTTGATGGGCAGGTGGTCAGCATTCACCTTTTAATCAGGAAATAGATGTCAGTTCTTAATTTCAACTCCAAAATAATAGTTCCCACTCATGGGATCACCATCTTGTTTCTTAAAACCATTTGTCTTCTCCATCACAATGCTAATTGCTGGAGGACAAAGCTGATGTGTTCTGCATGTGCGTGCTGTGATAATAAGTATGGGTTTTTGTTTGTGTGTATGTTTTTTAAATGTTGTTCCCGTGGAAAATAAAAATCATCTTAACCGCGCCAAAGGAGGATTTAGTCTTCTGTCCCAACTTGCTCTCCCTCACAAATCCCCCATCTAAGCCTCGATCAAAAGATGTAGGCAGCATAAACATGACATACCTCAGAATCATTTAGGAAGAAGGCTTGAGGGGGCCATCAGGTTGGGATCTAGACCATATTCTACAAATACCAGACCTGGACATCAAGTGAGGTATTCTGGAGAGGGGACTTACCTATCCAACTAATCTCTTAAATATTTAATTGGGGCAGTTCTCTTCTACTGAGGAATCCTGCTTTCTCCTTTCATCAAGGGCACTTGCAGCCTTAGCACCATTTAACAAATACTTGCTTGGAAGATCAGCTGGAGCACTGCTGATGCTGGCACAAACTCTTTTTAGACAGAGATGTGAGAGCAACTGCACTGGCCACAGCTCCTGTTGCAATCTCTTCCTAGCAGAAAGGAGTTAATCTTGGCTGTTCTGTATCAAGAATCTGAAACTGACTGATAATAGGACTTGTATGAGGAGTGGAAAGCTGGATTTTTACCAATACCTGGGACTTTACCAATCCTTGGTAATTCCATAGCCAGAATCACAAGCCGAAAATCATGTCTTTGGATAGATCAAAATCACTGTATAAATGGCCATTGCGTGTCAAATCCTGTGCCAAACAGGAAAAGCAGAGGACCCAAACTGGCACAGAAGAATTCAGAAAAGGCAGGACCTGTATTCTGCCTGCTAGCAGTCCGCCCACCCCCATTATTCTTCCTAGAATCAGGAATATTTGCATGTGGAAGCATGGTTCACAGCTGCCCTTACTAAACCAGAAGGCATAGGCACATACCAATGCCATATCTCAGATCACCCCCCTGTGGCTCTTGCTGGGACCTCTGCACAGGAGTCATCTGCTCACTTGCTTGTGGATAGAGTGGGCAACACTTCCCTGGGCCCTGATTTTCTAATGGGGGTGTCTGCTAGGTGAAAGTTATCACATCCCTTCCCATGTTAGGCTGTCTCTTTTTTGTTTCTGGTACCAAAGTGCCTTATCAGAGAATGTTTTCAAAAGAATCAGCAAAGCCATACTAGTGAACCCTTAGCTTCTTGTCCAAGCCCCAGCTTTCTACTTGCATGCAGCTATGACTCCTAACACCACTCCTCCGGGGGGCCGTTAGTCTCTTGCAGCTGCATTTTCATCACAAACCATGTGGGAGTTCAAGGCTGCCTGTCTCTAGAAAGGCAGCCTCTTGCTTTTGGCTCTAAAAGCTATGACCTGCTCCGCTGTCCCTGTTACTCATTTGAAAAAGTGATTATGTGGTTATTTCAGAGTTCAGTGTGAGGTCAAACCTTGGCAAGGCCCCCATCTGGTAAGTGTGACCAGCTGTGCTGTCATTTGTGGACTGCTGGTGGGTCTCCAGCTGTGGTCTTACCGAAGGAAATATTGTGAAGAACAAGCACTAAAGAGTGGAATCTGAGCAGTAGGGGGGGACCTGGGAGGGAATGTGGATTCATTTAACGGGAAAAGTTGGAGAATGTCTGGTCTAGCTGAATAATCTGATTGGCTGTTCCTTGCGTTTTGGGTAACAATCAGTAGATAAGTTCCCTCCACTGAGCACATCTAATCACTCACCTCACTTCCACGAATATCCCCATAGTCTGGCTCCGTTACTGGGAGAGTAACATGGTATTAAAATAAGGTAGTTCACTTTTCTGTTGGATTCTTAATTATCCTGTAGCTACTGATTTCCCCAGCCTCCACCCCCAACAGATTCTGAGGGAGCCTGGGGAATTGTCCTTAGATTCACCATCCCTCCTTCCTCAAAACTTACCAAAGCTTCTGTTTTGAGAGCTGCAGAGTTTGGGGACTCCTTGGCTCTCTTGCTGGGCAGAGGGTTTGCTGTGAAGATGCTGCAGAAGCTGAGCAAATTGCTTCAGCAGCACTCCAGAGGTGGTGAAGATGATGAATGCTTCATTAGCCTGTCTTATAATCCAGTTTTTTCCCCCCTTCTGGTGTTTTGTTCATGTCTTTCCATAGCAACTAACCTGTGGCTCCTTTGCCTTCAATTTTCATTTCTGCTATTAATAACAGAATGTGGGAGTTTAACTCTCTGGGATTGAGAGGGCTTGTACCTCAGTGAAAATAAAAGGGAAACATCCTGTTTGTTTAGGTTTTTGCCTTTAACAGCATCTGCTAGACTCTGCTTAAAGGAGGTCCCTGGAACTTAAAAGGATTCAGGGATATGTTTGCAGTTTTATTCTGGCTGTGTCGGTCCCAGGTGAGACAATAGGTTTTATTGAACCAATTTATGTTGGTGAGAGAGACAAGCTTTTGAGCTTACACAGAGCTTGTCAGGTCCGGGAAAGATTGTAGTACATAGAGATATCCGTGGCTCTCCCCCCAACCCACCTCAACGCAGAGACTCTTTTTCATTTTTGCTGTACCAATTAAGAGGTTTATTTGATCCCCATCACCATAGCATCAGGACATTGTCACAAACTCATTATGAGTGGGAGTGACCCTGCACTTGAGGACACCCCACTAGCTGTTTCCAGAAGCACTGATGATGTACATGCTCTGTCTAGTCTCAAGAGTTATTTTGATTATTGCTATTCTGGTATCCACAAGAGACTCTAGGGCATGTATTAATGGCCTCTAATACTCTAGCTGGGCATGAAGTCACCAGCCTTTGGTCTCTGCCTCATATTCCCTTTGGGTGCAGATTAATGGCTAGTTACTGTCTCCCTTCCAGGGATATCCTGTTTGATTTAATAAAGGAAAAATCATGCTCTGACCCTCATACAATCCTTGGGCAGGGGCTCATTAATACATTTGAGTTGTGTTGAGCAAAGTTTGCTGTCTCTTAACAATAAAATCAACGGGGAAGAAATTGCCCAGTACAAAGACCCATGGCCTGAGGTTAACATCTGAGACCATGCTCTCGCTTCTCTCTTTAACGAGCCTTTTCTTTTACTAGTTGCTGCCAGATGGTGGGGAACAAAAAGAATAGACTATGCCCTTTACTGTCCCGATGCACTGACTGCCTTTCCAACGGTAGCCTTACCACATCTCTTCCATGCAAGCTACTGGGAATCGACAGATGTAGTCTCCTTCCTACTGAGACAGGTACAACAAATATTTCATGCTTTTTTCTTGTCCCTTATGCCTAATTTTTGTTGGAAAATATTTTGAAGTCTCTTTTCCCTTTGCTGCACCTTCCATAATAACTTTTGTTGACACTAATGAGGGCTCAGCATAACAATGGAGGCAAAAAATGTACCCTTTACAGGTACAGATCCATCTCCTTTCCCTTCCTGTGCTGTATCAAATGCAGATGCCTTGCAAATAATACTTACTGCACAGTCTTTTCATGGAACCCCCCAAATCACAAAATTGGCTTTTGTTATTGGAACAAGTTCTTGGAGAGAAGGTCACTAAAATCTGAATTAGGGATGTTAAGAAGTGGGTATTTAACTAATTGAGTAGTCAATAGAATTTTTATCGACTACTCAATTAGTGGATAGGCAGCCTGGCTCAGTCCTGGCTCATTAAAAGTGTAGAACCAAACCCTGCTGTGGCTCTGCAATTTAAAAGGGAGTAAAAGCAGGCTGTCCGGCTCCTACTGCCTTTTAAATTGCAGAGCCACAGTGGGATTTGATCCCGGACCTGCATGAGCCCAGATTGAGTTGTGCTGCCTGAGTGCCCAACTCTTACTACATTTTAAAAGCAAGCCCTGGCTAGTGTTCCCTCTGAGCTTCCTGGCAGCACAGCTTTCACAGGTGATTAATCAGCCCCATCCAGTCAGAGGCTTAGGGCTCCCTGGGAGCTGACTGACAGTGCAGAGCTGATTCATCACTTGTGAAGCAGTGCTCACACACAGCTTAGAGGGAATATTGCCCCTTCCCTTACCACTGCCTATGACAGAGGCAGCAGCAAGGTAGGGCAGGGAGCACTGCAGAAACAGTGCTGGGGGAAATGGCTTTTCAGCTGGCTCCCCCCAGCACTGGCTCCTGCTCCCCTCCCCACTTGCTGCCTCTGTTACAGAGGCTGGAAGGAGAGGGAGACAATGTGAGTAGTCGACTCGACTACTTGGTGACCCTAGGCTTATCGGGTCGTCAATTAGTCATCTACTCACTTACATCCCTAATCTGAATCATTTGTAGTCGTCTTGGCCCATTTCATATAGTCTTGCAGCCCTTTGTGATTTTGAGGCAAAATTAGGTGATGTTTGGTTTGAGCTTTGCTTTGAGTTTTAACATCCTTTCAAACGTTAAGTTCAAAAGGAAGCTCTTGGTGCAAACCCTACATGGAATGAAACAAAAGTGTAAGTTTCAGATTCAGATTAACAAGTTAAAGTGCTCCAGCCTCCATTTGGGCTTTCAAGTGAGCCCTTAAACACCCGGAAACCTATTGTAGAAACCCGGTAAAGGGTTTTGCTTCAAGATTCAAAACTTTGTACCACAGTTTAAATTACTTCTCACAGGATTAGGTTTCTGGAGCATCACATTCTGGATTTTGTCAGCTTAACTTTGGTCACAGATTTAAATTTTGCAAAATCATATTGTTTTTTGTTTTAAAGAGAAATAGATTTAGAAAAAAACATGCACACCCCAAACATTGAAAATGGTTTGTTTCTCAGAAGAACATGAAATCCAAAAATAGCTGCACTAAGACCCTGGCAGGGAAAACAACCAGAACAAAAGGGGGACATATTCTTCTTGATTGCCCTTGCTCATATAGAGAAAAAAGAGTAAACAAAGAGCATAAATAGTTAAAGAAAAAAGAAACTTGCTAGCTTGTGACAAATGGGCCAGTGTATTTAAAGCAGGGGGTCTAAAGTTGGGATTCTAGATTTATACTTAGGCAGCTACATCAGAATAGCCTGATATGTTTTGTTCTTTTTTTAGAGACACTAAATAGCACAAATCCCACAGAAGACAATGGGAGCTGCAAGTGCTTAACGCCTGTGAATTTTGGTTGTCTCAGTATAGATTAAGAAGCCCAACTTAGCCCTCACAGGGTTTGAAAACTCTTCCCAGGATTAAGTTGATATTGTTCTTTAAAAGAGCAGTATAGTGTCATAACATAACAATCCCTCACTGTAACACAAACATCATGAATAACAAGTAGTCCTGTGGCACCTTAGAGACTAACAAAAATATATATAGTATCTTGTGCTTTTGTGGGTAAAACCTACTTTATCAGAAAGCTTGTGACACTGTATATTTTTGTTAGTTTCTAAGGTGTCATGGGACTACTCGTTGGTTTTAAAGTTACAGACTAACATGACTACCCCTCTGAGACTTACAAACATAATGGTGCACAAAGAAAAAATACACCAGCCCAAAGTGCCACTCTAGTGACCTTATTGCCCTGGCAAAACATCATTCATTTCTAAAACTCAGGTAGAGATGCTCACTGTCATTTTCATCCCAGCTGAGAGAATACTGCTTCTGTGGATTGCAACTTGCTGAATCTGTCCTCCTTTCAGATGTTCAATGTCCCTGCTTCAAGTTCTTTCCCTGATGAGGACTTTAAAACATCTTTTCATTTGGTGCATCTTCTTGGGGGGCGAGGGGCAAAGGGAACGGTTGAGAGGGCAGGCCAGCCAAAACAAAGGGCTTGCTTCCCCATCCTGCTGGGATTGTGGAGTAATGATCCTAGACCAGTGGTTCTCAGACTTTTTGGTCCATGGACCACCTGGTTCAATATAAGCCTTTCCGCAGACTACCAGTTGCTAATGGAAACTCGCCATTACAGGCAGTCCCCAACTTACGCGGATCCGACTTATGTCGGATCCGCACTTACGAACGGGGCTTTTCTCGCCCCGGAGCTCACGGGCGGCGGGTCGCCGCCTGTGTCCTCCGGGGTGAAAAAAGCTTCTCCCGGTCTCCCTGGTCTGCTGGGGGGGTCCAGCAAAGCCGCTGGACCCCCCCAGCAGACCAGGGGACAGGAGCAAA